TTTTGTTTTTGCCCCTATTTTTCATGAGCTGAACTCAAAGATCTAAGACTTTTTCTATGTACACAAAAGGCCTATTTCTCTCAAATATTGTTAAACAAATCTGTCTAAATCTGTGTTAGTTAGCACTTCTCCTTTGCCGCGATATTCTATCCACCTCACAGGTGTGGCATATCAATATGCTGATTAGACAGCATGATTATTGCACAGGTGTGCCTTAGGCTGGCCACAATACTATAATAAAACTTAGATCTTTGAGTTCAGCTCATGAAAAATGGGGGCAAAAACAAAAGTGTTGCGTTTATAATTTTGTTCAGTGTATATATATATAATACTTTTATGGTGCTTGAAGCTTGAAAACTCCTTATTTTTAGTAAATTCATTGGAAAAGGGGGAAAAAAGCAGATTCTCTTTCTTGTACTTACATGTGATATGTTTTGAATAAGGTAGGATTTACACTGAATGAGGAAGATGGCTGTGGTAGAAAAGCTGAGTTTTTAGGCTTGGACCTTTACTCTAGCATTTAAAACATGCTCTAAAGCAGTGGTCGCCAACCCGTCGATTGCGAAAACCTGGCAACCTGGCGTCTCATTCAGACCTGCTGTTTTTGTTTCGTGCAGATGTTTTATGTAGCAAATAAATAAATGACACCTAAAGTCAGACCATTCTGTTTTTGTTTTAAATCCTGAAATTAATCTAAATCAAATCAAAAACAACTGCGCGTGCAGATCGTGATTAAAATGCAGTGGTTGCCTCTAATTTCAAATGGCTAGATATTTTTGTTTAAAGCCAGTTTGTTTGTTATAAAGCAAATAGCCTTATTTTTAAGCCAAATTTGCTTAAAAATCAGTATCAGTATCCAATTTGCTAGTTTAAAAAAAAAAAGAAAATCTGAATTCTGAATCAGCTATGATCGGTGCATCACTCATTAAAATACAAAGTAAAAGGCCTCAAATTTGAAATACAATCTGGGATGTCTTTTTCTATCAATTCTTCAATAGGTAGATCTTGTGGATCTTGGGCATAAAAAGGTTGGTGACCACTGATATAGATGAGCGTCTCTGACCCCAGAGTCAGACAAAACAAAGTCTGCGGCCGTTTCACACTGATACGCATGCGCGTGTGTGTGTGTGTGTGTGTTTGTGTATGAGATACAACAATAGAAACAGCATCCATGAACTGAATGTAACAGCAATATTCACGCACAGTGTAGTCAGCATTTATCCTTGGAGTGATCTAGTTTTACACTTGCTTTCCACATATGCTGCAAAAATACAGCTAAAATCTACTTTTTTTTTTTTTCTAATTTTTTTATGTACCCTTCTGCAAAATGCTATTGAAACCGATTTTTTAATTTATTATTATTTTTTATTTTATTTTGTTTTGTACCCTTCTGCAAAATAGTTTTATTTTATTTTATAAAATAAAATTATTTTAAATTTATTAAAATGTTTATTATTTTTTATTTTGTGCCCTTCTCCTAAATAATATTTTTATGTACTCTTCTGTAAAATACAATTTTACAAAAATTACTTATTTTATTTAAACATTTATTTTTGTTTTAATTTGTAACCTACTGAAAAATACAGTTAAAACCAGCAATTTGATTGTCTTTCATTAGATTAATTTTAATTTTTAGTTTAATTTTGTATTTTTTTTATTTACCTTTCTGCAAAATACAAAAAGAAATCTACTTATTTTATTTTTCATTATTTTATTTTTTTTGTTTTGCACCCTTAGCTAAATACATTAATCACTATTTTAAATAAAATAAATAGATTATTTGTTTTTACAATTATTAATACATATTTAAAACCTATTAATTTAATTTTATATTTTATTTTATCCTGTAAAATGCAGCTAAAACCCACTTCTGATAGTATCGCATGGCTTCTAGCTGGTTGGGTTAGAGGGTTTATCAGCTCAGCTACCTGCTAGTGAACCTGGTTTTGACCCGCTTGATCACCTTGAACCAGCAACAAACTGTGTTCTAGAAAGCAGCTTGATATGAGCTGTTTTTCCCAGCAGAAAGTTCAGGAGGGTCAAAACTGAACAAAAAGCGAGCTAAAGAAACACAAAGAGAGAGAGAATATCATCCGGAGAGAGTCTGGCGCTGTTGATTGCTTGTGGTTTCTCCCTGTGAGGATCCTGAAGGAGAAGTGAACGAGTTCACAGCATTAAAGCAGACCGATGGAGGCGCTGCCATTGAGTTCTGAATGATTTAATCACCTAATGCATTCATAGGAGCAAAATATGACCCTGCAGCACAAAAGCAGTCTTAAGTCGCTGGGGTATATTTGTAGCAATAGCCAACAATACATTGTATGGGTAAAAATTATCCATTTTTCTTTTATGCCAAAAATCATTAGGATATTAAGTAAAGATCATGTTCCATGAAGATATTTAGTAAATTACTACCGTAAATTAAATCCTACCGTAAATATATCAAAACTTAATTTTTGATTAGTAATATGCATTGCTAAGAACTTCATTTGGACAACTTTAAAGATGATTTTCTCAATATTTAGATTTTTTTGCTCCCTCAGATTCCAGATTTTCAAATAGTTGTATCTCGGCCAAGTATTGTCCTATCCTAAAAAACCATACATCAATGGAAAGATAATTTATTTAGATTGACCCTTATGACTGGTTTCGTGGTCCAGGGTCACAAATATGAACTGAGAAGCACACAAAACACTTTGGGGCCAGTAAGATTTTTTTTAAAGAACTTTGAAGCAAGTTCTTTATTTAATACAGAACGTATGCAAACACAGTCATAAGAGTCTTTAAAAACATACAACATGCAGTGAATCAAAACCTACTTTTTCTTTAATTTTATTAGCTTAAATTTTTTTTTTCATTTTTGAAAATTAATTCTTAAATAATATATATATATATATATATATATATACACGTTATGCACGAGAAGCTGCAAAAGACACGGGCGCAAGTGGAATGCAAAAAACATGGTGACATTCATTTTTATGTAGATATAATGGGCGATATATTGCGTCACCAAAAATGATTGAGGTCATGTACATATATTGCGTGATAAGTCGATATATTGATTATTGCGACAGGCCTATTTGTATGAACTCCTCTTCAGATGTGCAGCGTGTTGATGTCAGATGTTTTGTGCTGTTGTTCTTTAATGGAGTTATTAAAGAGTTGTTGATCTACGGTCGGCCGGTGCACGTCACGCTCATCGCCCGTCGCTCCAGCCGCTTCGCCGGCACGCGGTTCCTCAAGCGAGGAGCGAACTGTGAGGTATGTGCTCGAGACGGACGGACCACGTGCTCTTCTGTATGCCGTGTGTCACACGCGTCCAACACGAGCTGTTCCTCTTCTGTATTTATCTCTGTGTGTTCAGGTGTGATTATGTAACGTTGTTCGTTTGCTCTAAAGCTGTCAGCCATTAAAGCCTCACTAAGCTCTCTGTGATGCTTTATGATGGTGAAAATACTTCAAAACTGCAGACCCACACATTTCAGCTGCTCATCATTTAACAATTAAACTAGTCGAGTCAGTTATGTAAAATCACTAGGCTGTCCAAAAGCTTAAATATAGTTTGAAGTCTAGTGAATATCAATTTGTTTTTTAAGTTAATTTAATTCCATTAATTTTTATTATTATTATTATTATTATTTTGTTTTATACCCTGCAAAATATAGTTCAAATCTATTTTATTTTATTATTTTATTTTATTAAGTTTTGGGGACAGATTTATTAATTTATTTATTTTTTTAAATTTAAAGTAAGTTCTTCATTTAGTGCAGAAAGTATGCAAACACAAATATGCAAAAATGTGGAGAATCAAAACCTACTTTTTAAATGTAATTTTAATAATTTTCATTATTTTTTATTGTTTTATTTTATCAATTTTATTTTTTATTTATCTTTGATTTTCAGCACTGAAATCATACCCCATGTCTTATTATTATTATTATTTTGTTTTATACCCTGCAAAATATGGTTAAAATCTATTTTATTTTGTTATTTTATTTTATTATTTTATTAAGTTTTGGGGACAGATTTATTATTTTTTTTTAATTTAAAGTAAGTTCTTCATTTAGTGCAGAAAGTATGCAAATACAAATATGCAAAAATGTGGAGAATCAAAACCTACTTTTTAAATGTAATTTTAATAATTTTCATTATTTTTTATTGTTTTATTTTATCAATTTTATTTTTTATTTATCTTTGATTTTCAGCACTGAAATCATACCCCATGTCTAAATGTGTACTTCTCTTAATTTTATTTTATTTTATTTTATTTTTAATTCTTTTTATTTTTAAAATTTGTAATTGTTTTTTATTTTGTACCCTTCTGCAAAATAGTTTTTATTATTTTATTTTATACCCATTATTCCCTTCTGAAAATATAGTTAAAATCCATTTTATTTTATTTTTTATTTTATTTAAGTTTTGGGGTCAGATTTTTTTTATTTTTTTTTATAAATTTAAAATAAGTTCTTCATTTAGTACAGAAAGTATGCAAACACAGCCATCAGAGTCTTTAAAAATTTACAAAATGTGGAGAATAAAAACCTACTTTTTAAATTTCATTTTAATAAATAAATTTTTTTATTTTTCATTATTTTTTATTATTATATTTTATTTTATTTATCTTTGATTTTCAGCACTGAAAACATACCCCATGCCCATTTATTTTATTTTAAAATTTAACTTAATTTAAAAAAAAATTTCATTTGTACTTCTTTTAATTTTGTACCCTTCTGCAAAATAGAGTTAAAACCTACTTTAATTAAATTTTATTTTATTTTATTTTCAGAGCTAAAAACATCCCCCATATCTGTGTACTTCTCGACCACATAGTATGCAAAAACTAGTATGCCAGATCACTTGTGCTTGTGTTTTCAGGGCGATGTGGCGAACGAGGTGGAGACGGAGCAGATCATCCACGACGCCTCGGTCATGTCGTTGACGGCGGGCAGTTTCTCCTCCTGTGTTCAGGTCCGAGGCTCGGTTCCTCTGTACTGGTCCCAGGACATCTCCACCATGATGCCCAAACCACCCATACGCTGTAAGAGCCACTTCCTGTCCATGACCTCACCACTACTTCCTGTTTATTTGCTCAAAACGGTGCCTTCACCCTCCTTCAGGACAGGGAGGGACGTTTTCTAGTGTTTAAATGCATTTATCTTCTAATGGTTTGTTTGGTCAGTTTTTAGGAGCTCGAAGCTACAGACATTAATGACTTTACAGGTTCTTTAAATGTGCAATGTTAGATTTGAACTTTCAGAAAGTGTGTCCTGTATAAAAACATCTAGTCGGACCCTGAAATGCCAGATTTTGAATACGGATGTTTTCATGATCCTGTTTTATATAGATGAACCGTCTCTGACCCCAAAGTCAGACAAAACAAAGTCTGCGCCCGGTTCACACTGATGCACATTCATGTGTGTTTGATGCTGTGTGTGTGTGAGTCAGCATTGTTGATTTATCATGGGTGTGATCTAATTTTACAGTTGCTTTACACATGCAATGCTGCAAAATACAGCTAAAACCTACTTTTTTATTTTATTAGTTTTAATACATTTAATTACATTTTATTTTATTTCTTTTTTTTTTTTTTTTTTGTACCCTTCTGAAAAATACAGTTAAAACCTACTTGTTTTATTATATATATATATATAATTTTTTTATTTTTTTTAAATTATTACTATTGTTATCTTTTGTACCCTTCTGCAAAATTTAGTTAAAATACTTTACTTATTATTTTAAATACGTATTTATTATTTTATTTATTTATTCCTTTTTTTATGGGAGTGATCTAGCTTTACAGTAGTTTTCCACATACCATGCTGCAAAATACTGCAAAAACCTAACTTTATTTTTAATTAAATTTTATTTATTTTAATTATTTAATTTTTTTTCTTTGAGCCTTCTGCAAAACACAGTTAACTGTTATTAGTCCCTTTTTATTTTTTCAATTTTATATTTAAAAAAAAATTTTTTTTTTTATTTTGTACTCTTCTGCAAAATAGTTAAAATCTGTACTTATTTTATTTTTTTATTTATTTTTTTGTTCTTTATTTTATACCCTTTTGCAAAATTTATTATTATTATTATTTTTTTTTTAATTTAGCAGAAAGTTCAGGAGGCGTTCTTTCCCAATTTAATGTTAAAGATTCTTCTTTGAGATTTTTCTTATATCCACTTGGATATACACATCACAATACAGAAGAAAAAATCTGCCGCTACTTTTAATTTCATATCTACCTGAGCATCATTTGTTACTTCTGGTTTTCATAAGTGTTGTTAGCAGATTCTTCTCTGTTTGGTGACATCACCAGGGCCGTCTGAGGATCTCTCATCTTCTCTTGCGTTATCTCTTTCTATTTGCGCTCATCTTGTTGCTGCTGAACCCATTTCACCGCTTCTCATCCAGAGCAAGATGACATTTCATATGTACAGCGTCTCACGCTGATCCTGCTGTGCGCTCGCTGCTTATCTTAGATTGCTTACCGCTAGTGTCCTCAACCGTGTGTGTGTGTGTGTTTGCTCGGGTTCAATATAGTCTTTTTGCTTCAAATAGAAGATTCCTGTCCAACACTAATTCTCTCGGGCTTGTGATGCATCAGTGCTTTGAAAGCATCGCACAGCTGCAGTTTGTTATTGGCAGGACATCGACACATTCAGATGTGAGGTATCTCATAATGTTGACTTAGTACCTCAATTTTGACTTAATAATGTCATGACATTTTGTCATAATAATGACTTAGTATCTCAATTCTGACTTAATATTATAATTGACTTTTTATGTCATAATATCTCATAATGACTAGGTATCTCATAATTTCAACTTATAATTATGACTGTTCCTGTCATAATAATGACTTTTATCTAATAATGAGGACTTAGTATATCATATTTTCACCTTAAAATCATAATTATGACTTTTTATGCCATAATAATAACTTTTTCTCTGAAAGAAGACTTGGTATCTCATAATTTCGACTTAATATCATAATTATGACTTTTGTCTCAGAATGATGACTTCGTATTTCATAATGATGACTTAGTATCTCAATTCTGACTTAATATTATAATTGACTTTTTATGTCATAATGACCTTTATTTCATAATGATGACTAGGTATGTCATAATTTCAACTTAATATTATAATTGACTTTTTATGTCATGCTACGTGTACTGCGTTAAGCTAACTGAAACTTGTTATAGCACTTTCATATCATTGCTCTCTTGTTGGTTTTGATTGCTTCTATTGTCCTCATTTGTAAGTAGCTTTGGATAATGACTTTTTATGTCATAATATCTCATAATGACTAGGTATCTCATAATTTCAACTTATAATTATGACTGTTCCTGTCATAATAATGACTTTTATCTAATAATGAGGACTTAGTATATCATATTTTCACCTTAAAATCATAATTATGACTTTTTATGCCATAATAATAACTTTTTCTCTGAAAGAAGACTTGGTATCTCATAATTTCGACTTAATATCATAATTATGACTTTTGTCTCAGAATGATGACTTCGTATTTCATAATGATGACTTAGTATCTCAATTCTGACTTAATATTATAATTGACTTTTTATGTCATAATATCTCATAATGACTAGGTATCTCATAATTTCAACTTATAATTATGACTGTTCCTGTCATAATAATGACTTTTATCTAATAATGAGGACTTAGTATATCATATTTTCACCTTAAAATCATAATTATGACTTTTTATGCCATAATAATGACTTTTTCTCTGAAAGAAGACTTGGTATCTCATAATTTCGACTTAATATCATAATTATGACTTTTGTCTCAGAATGATGACTTCGTATTTCATAATGATGACTTAGTATCTCAATTCTGACTTAATATTATAATTGACTTTTTATGTCATAATAGTGACTTATCTCATAATGATGACTAGGTATCTCATAATTTTGACTTATAATTATGACTTTTCATGTCACAATGACTTTATCTCATAATAATGACTTAGTATCTCATAATTTCAACTTAATATTATAATTGATTTTTTTTTTGTCATAATAGTGATTTATCTCATAATGATGACTTAGTATCTCATAATTTCAACTTAATATTATAATTGACTTTTTATGTCATAATAGTGACTTATCTCATAATGATGACTTAGTATCTCATAATTTCGTTCATTAATGATAGTTAATATTATAATTATTGCTTTTTATGTCATAATAATTACTTTTATCTCATTTTTATGACTTAGTACCTCATACATTTTCTCTCATCATTGTGACTTTGTATCTGTAAGTAATTAAGCACAATAACAAAGACAATCCCATCTGACTTTTTTTCTCAGTTTTTGGCAAATAAAACTGATCCAATAGCTCAAGTCCGAAAACAGCATGTTGATCTCATTTTTTTAAGGAACCAGTTTCAGAAGAACCAGTTTTCTACTGTGCATTTTATCAAAAATGACACTTAGTTATGATAAATTAGATGTGATTTTCTTCATTTCCAGACTCATCATCCTCTGCACTTACTCATCTTTCTAATGCATTATGCAATTTGCCTGATGCAATGTTCTTCTGTCAGAAGAAGATGAGGGTTTATGAAGAATGTTTTCTGTAATTAGGTCAGTTCGATATAGGTTTAAAACAGCACTCGCACAAAGGGCTTCCAGGATAACAGATATCGATTTTCTGCTAAACAAAAACTAGAGAGAAGTTGTTACGCAAGGCTCGAGTCTCGGCCATCTTTCATTGATTGTTTGGGGTGCTGCAAGAAGATGAGACACAGTTTTTCTCTTTCATCGCTAGCATGCAACACGCTTCCATCTCCATGAGCTTTGTCTGACCTGCTGAAGGACTTTTCAGTACTCAAGTGTTTGATTACGCCGACTTTGAATGCGCTTTGTGTGGTGTTAATGAATCCATGTAAAGGGGAGTTATTTGTGTATCTCATAACCTACTTCCAGGAGTGTTTTGTGTGTTGTGCTCTAATCTGTTTATAGGTTTGCAACTGCACAGTTAGATTGTAGCCTACTGCTCAGCGCAGATTTTTGACCCACATAGTGCACATTGATTTGTCTTTAATGGTTCATGTCATGTTCATATGAAAGCCCATTTCACATAAGAAAAAAATAACATAGTCGTTGCAAAAGAAAGTCAACATTATGAGATGCTAAGCCATAATTTTAACAAAGTCAAAATTATGAAATACTAAGTCATGATTATGATGTAAAAAGTCAAAACTAGGAGCTACATAGTCGTTGCAAAAGAAAGTCAACATTATGAGATGCTAAGCCATAATTTTAACAAAGTCAAAATTATGAAATACTAAGTCATGATTATGATGTAAAAAGTCAAAACTAGGAGCTACATAGTCGTTGCAAAAGAAAGTCAACATTATGAGATGCTAAGCCATAATTTTAGCAAAAAGTCAAAATTAGTTACTAAGTCATAATTATGATGTAAAAGGTCAAAATGATGACAAACCAAGTCATAAATATGACGACATAAGTCATAATTGTCACATACTAAGTCATAATTATAAGTCAATATGATGCGAAAATGATGCTTAAGTCAACATTTTGAGATACTACGTCAAAATTTTGACGTCATAATTATGACAAGTTAATTTGACTTGTATCATAATCATGATTATTCTCATAATTTCAACCTGTTATCAAATTATTATATAATGTTATGTAATTATGATTTAGTATGTTTTAATTGACATAAAAAGTCAATTATGACAGTCATTATTATTTACTAAGTCATAATTGAGATTAATTGTGAGAAAAAAAAGGTTTAAATTGAGATACTAAATGTGACCCTGGACCACAAAACCAGTCATAAGGGTCAATTTCTCGAAATTGAGATGTATATATCTTCTGAAAGCAATAAACTCAAATGCAGACAAACCGGAAATAAACCTGAAAACAGTTTTTTTTTGTAATTTGACACGTAATTGAAATGTGAACTCATTTGCTTTAAAACGACTCTGGTTTCATATCATCCTGACCAGGAATCTAATGACTGAATCATTTTTGTAAAGACCTGGTCTTATTAAAATGCTCTTTCTCTCTCTCAGTGGACCAGGCCGACCCATACGCTCACGTCGCTGCTCTTCACTTCGATCAGATGCTGCAGAGGTTTGGATCGCCCATCATCATCCTCAACCTCGTCAAGGTGATATCCAGTATTTCCCATTCCAGAAACTCCACGCCCTCCATTTCACCCCAAAATCAGGAGGAAATTATACTTTGCGTTAAGAGAAACCACTAAAATGTCAATACTGTAGCACGGTAATATCGACTGTAAAACATGTTATTGGTCAGCTCCATTTTTAATTTCCTTCTATAAGGACAAACTTTGAAAAACAAATTTTTGTTTTAAAAGATGGACTCAAAAAAACCTTTACATTTTTAATACACGTACAACTAAAGAATTTAAGAGTTATAAATATGACATAAAAAGTCAAAATTATGAGATACTAAGTCATAATTGACATAAGTCAAAAATGCAAGATGCTAAGTCATAATTATGACAAAGTAAAAATTATGAGATACTGATTCATTATGACATGAAAAGTCAAAATGATGAGATGCTAAGTCATATAATTATGTAAGACCTGTTTTGTACGATGGGCTCAAGAAAACATAAAATTTTTATCAGACGTACAACTAAAGAATTTTAATAGAGTTTTGTTGTACAGAATTGTCTAAACTTTAATAAGCTGAATTTTCTCGAATGTTTGATTTATGTTCTGCAATAAAATAGCCTTTAGAAGATATGGCAATAAATTCAAATATAAAAAAAATTATATTTTGCATAAAGAAAATAAAGCCTATTTGTTTAGGATCATTACAGTTTTTTGCATTATTACATTATTGATATTAATGACAATTATTGCATCATATCACCTTGCATTATTTCACGTTAAATATTTTGTTGCACTGTCACGTTGTGTTGCGAACACCATTTTAGCTCATTTTTTGTGCTGCTTTTCATGTGCATTAACTTTTAAAAATGTTGGGGTTAGTAGTTTTTTAAATGTCTCATTTAGGCTGCATTTATTTATTTGCTCAAAAATGCAGTAAAAATTGTGAAATATTATTACAATTCAAAATAGCTGTTTTCTATGTGAATATGTTAACATTTAATATATTTCTGTGATCAAAGCTGAATTTTCAGCATGGTTACTCCAGTCTTCAGTGTCACATGATCATTCAGAAATCATTTTAATATGCTGATTTGCTGCTCTAGAAACATTTCTGATTATTTATGTTGAAAAAGTACAAATTTTTCATAGTTTTATCACAGCAGCATTTATTTGAAATAGAAATCTTTGATCAAATGAATGCATCCTCGCTGAATAAAAGCATTAATTTCTTTAAAAAAATGCTAATGCATGTGCTCTGTGTGCTTCACATGAACACTTTTAGCATCTAATGCACTTATTATAAAGACAACAGACTGCACACATGAAGAAACGCTTTTGAATAAAAGCTACTGTCTAGATTTCCTATCTCTCACGTTTGCTGTCATGTAGTACACCAGAACAACGACCCAAATCACAGTTTGAGCCAGAAACACACACACATGAGCCATGTGATGTCCATTTGAGTGTCAGAAAGGGATCCGAAAGCACAAGATTTAACACGAACTTCAGCCTGGCAGGTTGAAAACACTTCTGCATGTGTGTTTATGGCTTTGTTTCAATGTGTGATTCACCGTATACTTTCCAGATAAAAGCGTGTGACAACAGAGCCTTAATGACCCAAATAAGATGCATTACATGCCTAGAATGCGATCTAATTAACTCCACACATTTAGCGCTCATTTAGCGCACCGGACCATGCGGTCGCAACACGTGTGCGGTCAAACACACTTAGTGTGGTTTGTGTGTAAAGTGCATGTGTGTTTGTGAGCACATTGAGCTCCAGCATAAACTCTGTGTGTGTGTTTGTCACTGGCCTCCAGTGGTGAGTGAGTGTGTGTGTGTGTGTGTGTGTGTGTGTGTGTGTGTGTGTGTGTGTGTGTGTGTGGGGGGGGGAGG